AAAGGTGAGTGTAGGTAGGGAGTTAGGAAGGGGATAGGTCAGTCCAGGGAGGACGGACAGGTCAAGGGGGCGGGATGAGGTTGGTCGGTAGGAGATGGAGGTGCGGCTTGAGGTGGGAGGAGGGGATAGGTGGGAGGAAGAACAGGTTAGGGAGGCAGGGACGAGCTGGACTGGTTTTGGGATGCGGTGGGGGGAGGGGAGATTTTGAAACTTGTGAAATCCACATTGATACCATTGGGCTGCAGGGTTCCCAAGCGGAATATGAGTTGCTGTTCCTGCAACCTTCGGGTGGCATCGTTGTGGCACTGCAGGAGGCCCAGGATGGACATGTCGTCTGAGGAATGGGAGGGGGAGTTGAAATGGTTCGCGACTGGGAGGTGCAGTTGTTTATTGTGAACCGAGCGTAGGTGTTCTGCAAAGCGGTCCCCGAGCCTCCGCTTGGTTTCCCTTTCAGATCCACTCACTTTTCATTTGGAAACCAAACAGAATATATCTGTGGAGTAAGATTCCACAAGAAACATCGAGATAAATGTTTTTGTGAACTTTGTCTATATTTAAATATCAGCTAGGGTTGTGGGAGAGCTGCCTTACAGTTCTTTAAATTCACCCACAGAATCTTTCATATCTACTTGAGAGGGTTAATCACCTTCAGTTTCAGGTCTTATCACAATCACAAAGGAAACCTGACAGAATATTCCTGTGCTGCACTTCCACAGTGACTCTCATTATTTACCCTCCAACAGCAGGGCACTCCCTCGGTACTGACCTCCCTGACAGCGCGGTGCTCCCTCGGCGCTGACCCTCCGACAGCGCGGCACTCCAACCAGGATTTTCTGTATCTCTGACTAGGATGGTCAAGTGGTTAAAGCGTGGACTTAAGATCCAGTAGACATCGGTCCTTGTGGTTCGAACCCCACTCCTAATAGCAGAGTTTTTGTGGGTGACACAGTGGTCTGACACTGCTGCCTCTCAGCAGCACGGACCCAAGTTTGATCCTAGCCTTGGGCGATTGTCTGTGTGGAGTTTGCATGTTCTCCCTGTGTTTCATGGGTATCCTCTGGGTGTTCCAGTTTCCTCCCACAGTCCAAACATGTGCAGATCAGGTGGATTAGCCAAGGGAAATGTGCAGTTACAGGAATAGGGCAGGAGGGTGGGACACTCTTCAGAGGGTTGGTGAAGACTTGATGGACTGAATGGCCTCTATCTGCACTGTGGGTTTTCTATGAAACAAAACTTTGCGGGAGAAAATGTATAAATGACCTCACCTGAGTAGCAGTATCCTGTAGTTATGATATCTTGTGTTTTTCAGCTCTGAGACCTGCCCAATCTGATCGCATATCAAGCAGGTGGTCTGAAAAAGATTACAAATGAACCATGTAAGTGTACAGTGAATTTACATAGCACATTGAACACTGAAAAATGCCCTATTTTCCATGGTTTTTTATGTTTATCTGTCAGTCTATCCACTAATAAACCCTCTGTGCCCTCTATTTAAGACAGAGTGTATTTAAGGCAGAGGTAGATAAGTTATTGATTAGGAAGAGGATCAAGGGTTATGGGAAGAAGGTGTAAGATTGGGGTTGAGAACCACGTCAGCCATGATCGAATGGTGGGCCAGTCTTGATGGGCTGAAAGGCCTAATTCTGCTCTTACATCTTATGGTCTATTACAAAGTGTTAGCCCTTATTTTTCTGCAATTGCTCAGTGGTTTACCTTAATTTACTACCAGATTCTCAGCTGTGGCAAACAATATCAATTTATTATCATGTTAGGAGTCCTAACCTGTAAACTCCAGTTTTGGGAAGGACTTTTATGACACAAGGCATGGAAATACTCAGCAGTTCAGGCACCACATGTGGACAGGGAATTAGAGTTAATGCATTAAGTCGATCGACAGAGATGGGAAAAGCTTCCCCAACTGTAGTTTCTTACATACATCACCCATCAATTTTCATACCTTAAACAGAGCAGATTTAGCTACTTCTGACAGTTTTACATTTATGCTACTGCAATGAAATTGGCAGGAAACTTTAAGTTCAACTTGAGCAATATTTCATCAGTACTGGTGAAGTCCCATATTGCTATGGCTGAAAGTGGGAACCCACGTTGTGCCCGTGGGCAGCAGGACCCTGGGTGGCATTTTACTGGTGTCAGCCAATTAAAAAGGTTGTTGTCCAATTGGTCAGGCAGCTCACCACCACCCCAGCCCCCAGGCCCTAGCACCAAGCCCCCAGTCCAGCCCAGTCAGGGAAGGGGGGTATTTACAGCATCATGGTCCATCACTGCCAATGGGGCTGCTCCTTCCTGGGAAGTGTTTACCTGGATATTTCAGCAGCTAGTGACCTCCTGGCACTGACAGAATGCCAGTGGGAGGGAATGGGACTGGTATGCAAAGGCTCCAGCCTCCGCTGATAACCCCAGGGTCTGCTCAAACTTCCTGGAACTTCCTGCTCTACACTGACTGCAAGAGTGACAATTCTCCTGTGGTGTCTATTCCCATTAACACAAGGGACCAATTCCCCTCTCCCTGGGACTAGAACATCCCCCATTATAGACACATTCATGGCTTTTCCTTGTTATTTTGCATTGTTGTGGAGGTGCGGTGTTGGACTGGAGTGGACAAGGTCAGAAATCACACGACACCAGGGTATAGTTATGTACGTTTTGCAATGTGTGATTGATTCCAGTTCAGGAACACTGCATTCCCATTTGAAAAATCCGAGATAGAAATGTGAAAACGCAAAAAGTGCACGTTGTAAAGTGAGAATGTTCCAAGTGATGATTAATCACAGAAGCTGGCGGCTATTTGTCTCACTGGTGTGAGGCTGAAACATGCAGCAGGCAGCTCAGACTAGGGCTGTGGGGAGGGACAGGGAGAGAAGAGAGAGGGAGGGACAGAAACAGGGAGAGGGAGGGACAGGAACAGGGAGAGGGAGGGACAGGGAGAGGGAGGGAGAGGGAGAGGGAGGGAGAGGGAGAGAAGAGAGAGGGAGGGACAGGGAGAGAGAGGGAGGGACAGGGAGAGGGAGGGACAGGGAGAGAAGAGAGAGGGAGGGACAGGAACAGGGAGAGGGAGGGACAGGGAGAGAGAGGGACAGGGAGAGGGAGGGAGAGGGAGAGAAGAGAGACGGAGGGAGAGGGAGAGAGAGGGAGAGAGAGACAGGGAGAGGGAGGGACAGGGAGAGGGAGGGACAGGGAGAGAGAGGGACAGGGAGAGGGAGGGACAGGGAGAGCGAGGGACAGGGAGAGCGAGGGACAGGGAGAGAAGAGAGAGGGAGGGACAAGAACAGGGAGAAGGAGGGACAGGGAGATGGAGGGACAAGGAGAGAGAGGGACAGGAAGAGAAGAGAGAGGGAAGGACAGGGAGAGGGAGGGACAGGGAGAGGGAGGGACAGAGAGAGAAGAGAGAGGGAGGGACAGGGAGAGGGAGGGACAGGGAGACGGAGGGATGGGGAGAGACAGAGGGACAGGGAGAGAAGAGATAGGGAGGGACAGGGAGAGAAGAGAAAGGGAGGGACAGGGAGAGAGGGAGGGACAGGGAGAGGAAGGGACAGGGAGAGAAGAGAGAGGGAGGGACAGGAACAGGAAGAGGGAGGGACAGGGAGAGAGAGGGACAGGGAGAGGGAGAGAAGAGAGACGGAGGGAGAGGGAGGGACAGGGAAAGAGAATGAGGGACAGGGAGAGGGAGGGACAGGGAGAGGGAGGGACAGGGAGAGAGAGGGACAGGGAGAGGGAGGGACAGGGAGAGGGAGGGACAGGGAGAGAGAGGGACAGGGAGAGAAGAGAGAGGGAGGGACAGGGAGAGGGAGGGACAGGAACAGGGAGAAGGAGGGACAGGGAGGGACAGGGAGATGGAGGGACAAGGAGAGAGAGGGACAGGAAGAGAAGAGAGAGGGAGGGACAGGGAGAGGGAGGGACAGGGAGAGAA